CACAGGACTCTCTGTTGCTTTTTACAGATCCAGACTAACACGGCTACTCCTCTGATACTTGACTCCACTGAAGTAAACAGGTACTCCAGATTTAGGCTGCTGTAACTCAGATCAAAATCTGGCCCTTTTATGTACAACGTTCATTGCGATGTCAGGGAGACAAATATTTGTATGTGTATTGAGATACAGTTACAACTTATAAAAGTGGGTAACATACGGTAGTAGTGGGGGAATTATGATTCCACAGCTTTTCTAACCGAGAAGGTACAAATGAGGGCACCGTTAACTTGCAGCAAACTACATGATAAACAAGATGAGATAGCCTACACTGTGGAAAGGAAGAATATTTGCAAATTTTTAAAGGCAACTTCAGTACTAAATGCAAAACATAGGCCCTCAGGCTGAAAGGGGTCTCTTCTGCTCTTTTAGAGCCTGCCCCAACTCCCACGAAGTCAACAGGAGTGTTACCACTGGCTTCAGGAGGAACTGGGTCAAAGCCTTTCAAAGCTGACTATTTTTCATGGCATACATTTCAGCACAATGACAGACAAATAGCAGACGTTGACTTGCATTCTGTTAAGTCGCTTACTAAGTGAGAAATAGTGTATTCTTTTTACAGAACTTTCTATTGATTTAACAACTGGGCTGAGAAAACACAAGCTGTCCATGGCTCATTTGTGTACATTGGTTCCAAGCCATCTTAGGCTGCTGCGGGAATACCACATCACATTGATTGTGCTGTGCTCAGGTAAACATTTAGACTGGCAGGAATTCCTTACAAGATACATAGATGGAAGAAGTGAAATCATGTGTGAATGCTGTTCTGTTCCATGGCATGTGTAGCTAGGACAGCACAACCATTCCTGTCATAAAGTAGTACATTATCTTACTTCAGAAAAATGTTCTGATTAGAGCATGCTATGCATAAAGGGCTTACTTGAAATTGGCTCGCTCACTCTTGGGTCCGCTGGGGAGAAAAACAAACACTCAATCAAACATTGTAAAATAACCTCTCCTGATATTTCTACAGAAGCCCACTGGAAAGTGATTTTCTATGGCTGACAAACTATAATCTGTAAAATAGCAACAATTTTGGGAAGTTGAGTTCACTACATTTTTGTGCAAGTTAAAGAAATAAACTGCTCATGTAACTAAACCTCTACCCCGATGTAACGCTGTCCTTGGGAGCCAAAAAATCTTACCGCGTTATATGTGAAACCGCGTTATATCAAACTTGCTTTGATCCGCCGGAGTGCGCAGCCCCGCCTCCCCAGAGCACTGCTTTACCGCATTAGATCCGAATTCGTGTTATGTCGGGTCGCGTTATATCTGGGTAGAGGTGTATTTGGAATTACCGCATCACTGAGCTTTTAAAAATGTTATTAATGGGTCACTACCAGTCAAATTTGGATTTGTAAAAAAAAAAAAAAAAAGATTACAAAGTTTATCATCAATAAACATATTTCCATGGCATTTTAAAAATTTCAATGTAGACCATTTGTTATTATTTTAAAGAATTCCTCTGTAGTGCTTGCTGCCCAAATGCTGCAGCTTTACATTAGTGCATGAGAATGAGAAATGGAGACGTGTGAAACCAACTAGTTTATTTCCATTGTCTTCACTGAGTGAAGGAAAAAAATAAACATCAGAAATCATGAAATTGCATTAAAATATAAATGGTTCTTTCAAGTTTAATAATCTAAGATACATTAGTAACATAAGAGTGTATCGATTTTTCTTAAAATATGTGGGACATATTCTGAATTCCTTACTCATTTTCCACTTACCTGTTACTCAGTCAAAACGCCCATTAATTTCAGTGAGAAAGCACTGAAGGATTTGACTTAAAATGTAAAACCCGATAGTGTCCCTTTAAAGAGGCATGGTACACAGTAAGTGCCTACTAGTTCAGAGTACAATCAACAATAGGCAGCCGACTCTAAATATAAGAATAGCTCCTGCTTCTATTGCAGTCAATGGCTATTTTGTAATTGGCTTCTAGAGAAGCTGGAACTTGGATGGATAGTGCAATGCTGTACTGAGTGATTCTTTCTGCTCCCCACAGCCAAGTCAGGTGGGACTTTGCTTATTGTACCATTTTAAACACATGACAAAGCTGCAAATAGCACTCTAAGTTGCAGATGCATTAGATAGATACATATTTTTGAGGGCCCTATACCAATCTGCTAAATGAGTAATCCTTAATTTTAAAGAATATATTTCCTATGCTCACATTGACCCCATTCCACTAAGCGTCAATCCAGTGGGTAAAACACTGGATTAGGACCCAGGACACCTCGATTCTATTCTCAGATCTGCCAGTGACCTGCTGGATGATTTTGGGCAAGTCACTTAATCTCTCTGAGCTTCTGTTTCTCTTCCTGCAACAAGTGTGTCTTGTTTATGTCGACTGTAACCTCATCAGCGCAGTGACTCACTCTCTCTCTCTCGATATCTAGCTATTTACACACCCATACAGTGTCTACCACAAAGGGACTCTGATCTCAGTTAAGCCCCGAGGCACTATTGTGATATAAACAACAGTAATAAAATTAAAACAATCCTATATTGCAGACAGTGGGAAAAGCATGGGCAACAAAGCAAAATTGCAAAAGTGTGCCGTGTGTGTAAATCTGTTATGTATCACTGTGCACAAAGGCCTGCCTGTTTGCAGAGCTATCTGATAGAGGGATACAAACATAAACATGGATTTACTATAATAAAGCTTTGGATTTAAGATGCCACACTACCCATTAAAAAAAAAATCCCTGGATTCAGCGTAACCCTTTGTACACCTTCCATAGTTAAATCACAACTCTGTCTTGTGTCCATAAAGGAGTATGGGAATTTGTCATTTACATATGGAGAGACAGAGGCACAGAGTGAGGTAAAGTGAAATGCCCACGGCCACCCAGCAGGTCAGTGGCAGAGCGGGAAGGAAATCCAGGTTTCCTGAGTCTGAGTCCAGTGCCCAATACAGGCTACACTGCATCCATAATCAAAAACACTTAAGGGTCAAGTTTACCTCGTCTTTTTGGCTGAACGCATTGTCATGGTTTTCACTGATAAACTGATACATCTATTGAAGCTCTTACCTGATTCAGTAGAAAATGGGAGCGTAGGGGTGCTTGGACCTTCACCGCGAATGTTTTTGGCTTTCACCTGGAATTCATAACTGGAGAATAAAATTAGAAACAAACATACACTGTATTCTTGATTGCCATGGGCAAGCAGACCACCCATGCAGACACCCTCTCTCATGCTACTGGCTTCCTGGACAAGCATAAAGTATCAAGTTTCTTACTCTGAAAACATTTAGACACGCTGCTCCTAAGAATGTAAGACCCCTCTGTCTATGCATAGCAAGCTTTCATGCAGGTCCTTACTGTTTGTTTTAATGCTCCAGTGGTACCTTATCCTGTTTTTAATGCTGGCAGGGGAGCAGTTTAGGTGATAGGGCCTGCTGCTGCAAGTAATGTATGTCTTTCAGGAGGTGGGGCTGGCACGTTCAGCCAACTGAGCTGAAGATCCAACTGGCTGAATGCACCTCAGTGCGATATATAGTCCTTTAATAACAACAATGCACCTCGCTTAGGGATGTCTCTTTCTAATCCTTCTCCACTGCAATATTTTATGGCGTAGTCCTAAACACCAATATTACCTGAACTCCCCCGCCTACCCTCCCGCCTGAGTGGGGTTGCTACCTCTGGGATGCAAAAGCCAGGACATGTGGGATGATCCTGAGTCCATAAAACTGGACAGCTGGCAGCATGTACTGAGCTCGGTTACCGATTTCCTAGGACAGCTACCTCAAAAAAGGGACAATCCTAGGGGAACCTGGACAGGTGGCAACTCTAGTTGGGACCAAGGCAGAATGCAGGAAAAGTAAAACAAGGTAGAAAAGCAAGAATAATCCCAGTCACACTGCGCTGTTGAGATCCCTCCTCTGGCTTTGCTGCCCATGTGGCTTTGCAGAAAGTAAAGATCTGCTCCCATCCCCACAACTCAAATCCAGGAGGCTGAACAATTGCTGCCAGTTCCCTATTGTTACCACCTGGGGAGAGCCCTGCTTCTCATTCCAATTCTCCTTAATGGTGCTCAGGGCCCCTGCCATTTGTGGCCTTCCTATTCTGCTGCTGTGCTGCGAGGAGAGGTGGCCAGAGCATTCCCATTTCCTCACAGCAGTAAGGCCTGTGGCTGCTGCTACCTGGTGCCAAGTGGCTCCTGTATACCCCATACACGGCTGAGCCAAACGTGGCCACTCCACTCAATCCTGTTTCCCAAATCCCCTCCTCTCCTACACTGATGTTTTTTCATGTGTGATGCACCCATGCTAATGGATGCACTCTGAGGTACTGAACTAGCAATATGGGTAAGAATATCAATGTCAGTGCACAATGTGTTTTTCCCCCACCAACCACACAGCCAAGCACCGACCTAAAAACCACTCAGAATCGGCCTATTCTAAGATACCATCACCTGCCTACACTAACAACTATAGCACAACTATAACGTACACCCCCATGGTGATCTGCCTGCCTCAGAGCAACGGAAAATTGCACGCTTTGCTGATATTGCTGTACAAAGGCTCCTGTTCATGTTCTTCTCCCTTCTTTCTGTTCCAGTTTCAGGTTCTGTATCAGTTCCTTCCCTTGAACTGATGACTGTCAGCTTGTGCCTGTCATGCAAACGTGAAAGCTACCTCACTCGCTGAGGCCTTTGAGACACATACAGCTCCTGTTGTTGTTTTTTTGGTTTGTTTTTTAAATGATTGTAAGGAATGTAGTTGAGAAAGAGAGAAGATAGAGAGGTAATTTCCCCAAAGTCTCTAACATTCAAAATCCTTTGTGGTTCACTTTCCAGCAGCAACTTTCCAGGAGCTCTAGGCGGTGAGGGGAGTGTACAGAAAAACAATAATTTATTCTTTTCCTCGTTATGATTATTTGTATTACAGTAGAGCCTAGAGGACTTATTCTGGGGTCACAGCAAGAAACAACCACTGCTTTGGAGGCTGTGAGAAACCCTGACATAAATAAGTAGTAGGCAACTGAGTACATTTTAAATTAGCAATTAACGCAAAACAATGGACACATTTTAAAAACAATGAGCAGGCATTTAGATTATTTTCTATTTTGAATGTTATATTGGACAATTAAATATTCCTGTTGATTCACAAAGAATCCCTTATTAATCAAAGGGGGTGCTTGGTGAATTTATCACAGTGCTATGAAATGGAGCTGCAAGAGACTGCTTTCCAAGCAGCAATTTTCCAAGAGATCAAATGATCAGAAGAGACAAAATTTAAAAACCATGCCACTATTCTCATGCGTTGGTGCCAAGACTTCATTTAAAAGTTCCCCACAAAGAGGCTGAATAGTTTAATACAAACTGTGGAATTTCCAATGGTTTCTTAGTCTGTGAAGACCTGAGCAGCACGCTGATTAACCTCGGTAGGTTCTTTATGGCCAAAGACCAAGGGACAGTCTCCCACAGCTACTTGGTAGGATAATTTTTATTTCAATCAAGTTTAATGCATAAAACTAACAATTGCCTCAATTTTTGTAAATCTTCACACAGAACAGAAATACCAGCAAGTGTTCTCATATAGGCAAATATTTTATAAATGAGGAGTCTACATTTATAAGTGTAACCATGGGTTCATTATTTTTATTTTAAAAGCCTATCTAATCTAATTTAGAGATTTATTCCATGCTCACCACTGTATTCAAACTCCTTTAAGGTCACTTTAAATAAGCCATATGCCATATGATGTTTAAATGCAGAAAATCTACCTATGTCTGGGCCATGTGGGGGGGTTCCCTCTGGAGTTGTTGGTCCTTATCTTGTGCATGACCATGGCTAGGAGAGGGGTTGGAGGAAAAGTGTACAATAGATATGTATCCCATTGAGGAGAAAAGCAGTGCTGAGAGATTGGGATCCCGGTCCCGCTCTGGAGCAGTGCTGAGAGATTGGGATCCTGGTCCCGCTCTGGAGCAGAAGTATGGGCATCTGGCATTCGGGTTTGTTGCAAAGAGGTTTATAGTTGGGAAGCCCCAGTGTCTGAATAGGTTCTGCAGTATTCTGCTGTTCATTTCACTCATGGTCCTGGGAAAATTTTCTGCTCAGTGCATCTGCTGTGGTGCTTTGGCATCCTGGTAGGTAGGAGGCTGAGATGTTGATGTTGCAGCGGATGCACCAATTCCATAGTCACATAGTTTCTGTGCACAGGGAGTGTGACTGTGCCCTTCCTTGGTGGTTTATGTAAAGCATACAAGCAGCATTGTCCGTCAGCACTTTTATAGCCTTGTCCCTGATCACGGGTAGGAAGTGTAAGCATGCATTTCAGACTGCCTGTAGTTCCAGTAAATTTATGCGTAACGTTGATTCCGATGGGACTAGTAACCTTGGATTATGTGGCTGTTCAGGTGTGCCTCCCAACCTAGCAATGAGGCATCCGTTTTATCACCAAGTGGGGAGGTCTGTGTAAAGAGAACTCCCATGCAAACATTGTGTCTCTGAATCCACCAATGTACAGAATTTTTTACTTTGCTTGACATCGTAAGATGCTTGTTTATACTGCGTCTGTGCAGAATATTTTTTGTCCTGAGCCAGCCTTGCAGGCATCACACGTGCAGTCTGGTGTGCTTGATGACGTGCCGTTGCTGACATATGGCCTAATAGTTGGAGGCATGTCCTGGCTGATGTTTGTGGGCTGGCTTGCGTTGTGGTGATTAGATTGACTAGAGTGGTAAACCTGTGCTGGGGCAGAAAGGCTGTGGCTTCCAGAGAGTCAAGGTAGGCCCCGATGAACTCTGCACCAGTGGGACATTGATTTTTGTTTATCTGTAGACCCAGCTGTATGAAAAGAGCTACTGTGTTTTGAGTAGCTTCTAGGGCCTCTTCTCATGTCAAAGCTTTGAGTAGGCAATTATCCAGCTAGGGGAACATTATGATCCCTTATCTGCATAGGTGAGCCACCACCACTGCGAGGACTACTTGTGGGGCCGCAGACAAGCCAAAAGGAAGTACTTTGTATTGGTAATGATCTGTGCTGAGAACAGATCCGACAAACCTCCTGTGTGAAGGATGTATCGATATGTGGAAATATGCACCCTGGAGGTTGAGGGCCGAGAACCAGTCCCCTCATTCTAATGCTGAATTTATTGTTCTGGATGGTGTGGAGGCAAAACACAAGATGCTCCAAAAAGGATAAGGGAATGGAGAGGACTGTGTCTCCACCCTCTAAACACTGGCCAGCAGAGCCTGTCAGCCATGCACAAGCTGCATGCAACAAAAGGCTGCTGCAGCAGCAGGCACACAGGCTCGGTATGCTTGGGAGTTCTAGGAGTCTTTCTGTCTCCATGAGGCACAATATCCCGGGGCAGGGTGGGTGTGCAGCTCTATGCACATGCAACAGCACAAAGTGGTGATTTGGGGATTTTGTTGCCTACTTAACAAGCTGCATGATAGAACAACAGTTTAGATATGCTGAAACCTTGTCTATACACACACACATGCACTGGGCCAAACTGGTGCAAACACTGACGTGGATCCTTATTACCTTTTAAGAGTGGCTTAAACCAGTGGTTCCCCAACTTTTTGGGCTCAGGACCCATCTGTAAATGTTTATGGCTTGTCACAACCCAGTAAATAGTTTGGGGGTGGAGGTCCTGGGGTGGTTTCGATCAGATCCTGCCCCCTTGGTGGGGGTTGGGTCCTGGCCGGCAATCACCCCACAGTGGTGGCTCCTGCAGCTCCTGTGCCGTGGGGCTGGCTGGGCTTTGCTCTCAGCTCTGAGCGTTGCAACCTCTGGGCCTGCAGCGCTGCTCAGATTTAGCCCCACCCCCATGACTGGACCAAATTTGCGTGAGTGGAGTTGTGACCTGGCTCATGGGGTCGCAGTGCCACTCACTCAAATTTGGTTTACCTGGGCTCCCGTCAGCATGACAGCTGGGCCCTCAGCGGTTGCAGTGCCTGGAGCAGGGAGGCGAGCCCAGCCAGCCCTGTGGGACACGAACTACAGGAGCTGCCACGTGACCCTTTGAAACATTCTGGTGACCCAATTTTGGGTCCCGACTCAGAGGTTGAGAAACCCTGGCTTAAACTGAACTAAGAGTGTCCACTTAGCCTTTTGCACCTGTGTAAAACAATACCTGAAGTAAACTGGTACAATTC